CAGTAATAAACAGGTTTTTTCAAGATTCATGGAAGCACAAGCATATTTTGTTTAAGATACCTGTTTCGGTATTGCATTTGCATAATGTCATTGTTCTTTATGTTCTTTATGTACAAAGCAACATTTTCTTATTGTCTGATTTCAGGGTTGATACAAAACCAACAATTTATAGGATTTATAGAATTATATATATGGAAAATTTATATATGTAAATTACTGGCTAAAAAAAAAAAACGCGCTTATGGTTTTCCAAAGAATAATGAATTTAAAAAAGCTATAGAACTTTCTTTCCATAATTGTAATACCACGCCACTTAGAAACTAATAAGTATTTGTTAAATCTTAGTAATCTTAGTTAAATTATAACAACTTGTAAATAAAATTATTAAGATAAAGAAATAACAATTTATTTAAAAATGCTCATATATAAAAAAGATATAATTTTAGGGAAAAAAAAGATTGGAATAGAAAACTTAACTGTTATACAAACTAATTCTCAAAGAGAAAGTCATTTCCTGAACTTAAACATAAAATATATAGAAAAAAAGTTTAGTAAAAATATATAGAATCAGAAAAAAGCAATTAATATAATTTGTCTTTTCTGATAATTGATATATATATATATATAATAAGCGACAGGGGAGGGGGCCAGTTTGTAGAGAGAAAATTGAGGCTTTATATAAATGTCATTGAAAATTTCAACAAATGGTATCCATAAATTGCCCCCATCCAATAAATCGCTTAAAATTGAGTACTGTATATAACTACTAAGAAGACTTATAATGACGATCCAAGATTATGTATATAGCACGAAAGAAAATACTAAATTGAAATATTATCCCCAGCACAACTATCATAAAAGAAGCGATATGAATATAATAAAACAATAAAAGAAAAATGTATGTGAACTAATAATAAAAAATCCACATGTGAAATATCGTTGATACATGATCTATTATAGCTTATTTTCCCCGAAAAGAAAATTAACAGCTACATCCGGAAGAATTATTGTTTCCATTTTGTCTATTCGGCATAGATGGAATTACGTTTATCGGGTTGCCATTATTACCTACTTGACGTGGGCGGCTAATAAGATGCTCAAGAGGAATCTTCTTGGCTACATAATAAAATTATTCTAAAAGTTAAATTGTATATATTAATTATATAGTATATAATATAATGATTGCGTACCAATTTCTGTGAAAACGTCCCGCACACCATCGCCCTTCTTTGCACTAGTCTCGAAAAATAACAAACCGGTCTCAAGGGCGTAAGCCTTAGCCTCTTCAGTAGGAACTTGTCTCCCACTTTCCACCGAATCTTCTTCGCCATCATCAACTGGTTGAACGAGATCTATTTTGTTTCCTGCAAGTGCAATAACAATGTTTGGATTTGCCTGACGTTGCAATTCCTTTACCCAAGATTTAGCTTTGTCAAGCGAGGCCTAAATATTAAGCCCAAAAATTATGTTAAACATGTGTCGGTAAACCACACTTTACAACTAAAGGTTCCGTTTTATCAGAATTATATGACTTACGCCTTTTGTTACATCGTAAACAACTACAGCAGCCTGAGCGTTTCGATAATACATTGGAGCCAGAGAATGGAATCTTTCCTGACCAGCGGTATCCCAGATTTCGAATTTAATTACTTTATCTTCTAAACGACACTTTTGCGTTAAGAAAGCAGCTAAGTTTTCGAAAGAAAAAGGTATCACCGTGAATTCATAAAGCAAAAAAAAAAAAATAATAAATTGTAAAGTGACTAATATATTTGGGATCTGTGCGAAATTTCTTACCACCAATAGTTGGTTCTTTATTTTCTTGGAATTCATCATTTACAAACCTAAGCACCAAACTAGATTTACCAACGGCAGCTTCGCCTATTAGTAACAAGAAAAATGTGTGTGTTAATGCCTGAAACAATTCCATCTCAGCAAATAGGTAAAAGGCAGTGATGACTTTGTAGAGAGAGAAGGTACGACTAATTTGCTTAAATAAGTTGCTTCCGATGGTGTAAACTTACCAAGCAGCACTAGCTTCACTTGAACAGGTTTTAAGTTTGCATTATCACCATTACCACGGGGTGGTTCAGCAGATTGACGTGGGTTACTTGACATTTCTTATATATTTCTGTTTGCGTTGTGGTTATGGCGTGTTGTTAAATCAAAAGCTCTGGTTTGCCGGGGAGAGAAGAAAAAAAAAAAAAAACGAAATATAGACGATATGATACACTGTGATACTGATAAATGATTCTAGTATACACAATAGCAAAACCCTCAAGGTACAGTACTACATAGAGCGCCAAAGGGGTCATGTAAAATAGTCCGACCCGGATGCTATATATTTTTATATTCTGGATGCTATCGCAATGAACCTCGGAAATTTTATAGTAAATTTCATACATATTCTGATTGACTAAATGACAGTCGTACGTACGTACGTACGTATGTACGTTTTTTTTTATTCAGGGTCCTGGGTATCCGGCACTTTGAAAATCGCCGATGACGGTATAACTGTGAAAGCGATAAGACAGATAAGACCATATTTACTGTAAAAATCACTGCATCATTCTTAAAACGTGATAATTTAAACCGATTAAGTATTGTTAGACGCGGGTCTAGACTAAAAATACTTCGCGCAATGATTCTAAGAAAAATTCCAGTACGCGGTTGGAGACAACGCTTCAATCGTAGTCATGTTAATAGTCAAAGTTCTGATGTCTTCGCACGTATTCTTCGCGAAGATCTTGCTAGATTAGGAATGCCAATGAAGAAGTGCCAATTAGGTTTCTGCAAACCCAAAAGGTACCCATCTCCAACAATAGGCACAGGCATAGAGTACTTAGTCTAAAACTGCCTGACTTTTGTGGGCACAAGCACAAAGGCCAAATAGAAATTGGGCAGCTTCGTCGTGAGCATAAAAGTACTGTCTAACACTTTGTGTCCACGGAATAAAAATGCACGACCCAAAGGGGTCTAGCGTTTTTGTGCCCGCGAGAACAAAATGTCTGGTATTTTCTTGGCTACGGGCACGGGCATGGCAGACATTAATACCCGACATACGATGCCCAATGTGCCCGGCATGGGGCATTTGCGGACTTGTGCACGAAGATACGTGCATTAATCAATTGGTTTGGTTTATTTTTTTCGCAAGTTGAAAAGGTTCACTTTATCACATTCTGTATCAGAAACTAAAATTACAACCACAATTGCGGAGTCTATGAAGTGTGAGGTAAGTCAAAGTATGATTTTAAAAATCAGATCGTTTTTAGATAGCTAAGCTTTTAATTATAGAAATTAGACAGTGTGAACTTTATTTTTATTAAAAAACAATGCGAGGAACTACAACGTTATAAGACGGTATTTCAATTTGTGATAATGAAATGGATGATAGTAGTAATGACAAAGCATTTTCGACTTTGGCACTTTATCTTAACTTCGTTGTTGCGTTCCATTATAGCATGCCAACTTCAATTCATAACTACTACACTACGATATTTTCAATTTTCAATATTTGGATTGGATTATATATTAACTCTGTAGCTCTAAGTACTTCGTGGAGAAATTCTGACCGACATCTTGGTCATTTTGTTCGTCGACTTAAATATGACTTTATCGTTAAGTTCTTATAGTGCTCGGCACAATCAAACAAAAACTTGACACTTAAATACTTGTAATTAGTCGGACATCGAATGATCATAGAACAAACAAGTTATTTATGCTTAAGTATTAATGTGCATATATATAACTAACTTGATCTATGATCGTTTGATGTCCAACTAATCACAAGTATTTGGAGAGTCAAGTTTTTGTTTGATTGTGCCGAGCACTAGGTTTTTATGAGTTTGAGATATAGATGATATCCGGATACAATAAGTGTGCTTGTAAATTTTCGAAGCGCTATTTATATAGAGGCGTGATTTCAAAGATATCGCTCATTTTATGATTTAGAATTGCCAGTTTCAACCAAAAGAAATATTGACGAGAAGACATATCAGTAGACTTGGAAGTAGGTAAGATAGCAAAGAAACTTGGATGGGATCGTATGAAAGATGTATAAAGGTCATGTAAGATGTCCAATGTTCATCAGCGTAAGTATCATGAAATATTGATGTTTAATATTCAGAGGTGGAATAAAATATGAAATGCATTCAACATAACTGATAAAAAATTTTTTTTTTTTTATTTATTTTCACCAAATTATTTAGATGTTAATTATTTTTAGCCTGACAACTTTTAAATCCATATCGCTTTAAGTTTTAAGAATGAATTGCATTATAATGATTATTATCTGTTATTATTATTGGAATCAGGCATTTTGAATCATGGGTGATCTTTAAAGTTAATTTTTTTTCGTGTCTCAACTGCCAATCAAATTAATAAATTATTTTTAGCCAGGCCAGTTGGTGATTGATGTGATTGACGCTTTCGAGTCAACAATTGTAAACTCAAAGTTCCAAATATTCATACCTTCAAAACTTGAATTGTTTAGTATCTTGCTATGTGCATCGAAGTTTTGAGTTTACATATCTTTCATGCAGTGGTTACTGAATATTGTGTTCAGAAAATCTCACATAGTTATACAAAATTGCAAAGTTTGCTTGACCTACCATGTTTACACTGCATATTTCTGGTGTACAAAAAAGTGGCCCTTCTAAAATCAACAATGCACAAAGCTGCGGGATTTTTTTTTTTTTGAAAATCAGCATTTTATCAATGAAAGATCATGACAATCATACAGTTCAAACGTCATCAAAAATCAGGTTTTGTGTAGTACATCAACCCCAAAAGAAAAACAAATTTTAACGAACGGTTGGGAAAAAAAAAAATCCCACCCTTTCTTTCCGTTCCTCTTAATCACTACAAACACGCCGTACCCTATTTACCATCACCCTTTCACTTATAATAAAATATAAAAAAAAAAAAAAAAAATCCTAACTTCGATCTTTCCAATATCGTTTACCTTTTTTTATTTTGTTTTTTGTGCTTAACGGAACGTTCTCTTGTTCCTAATTCGGGTTTATCCTTGATAAACTTTAGAAGCAGAGTAATAATAATAATAATAAGTAAATTTCTGCCAACCTTTTCCCTACCCTTTTCTGTTTGCCTCACCTGGTAAGAAGTTTTTAATTACATGTTTCCATGTTAGGAAAATATTAGAAGAATACTACACAACATATCAAATAAATAATTTTTAAAGAACAGTTGGTAATAGTGAAAATCAGATATTGTATAAAATCAAAAATGTAATATATCATGAATTTTCCTACAACGATAGTTCTACCAACGAATTTGATTTTGACAGAACCGTTCTCTTGTCCTCGAAATGGCAAATGATCCTCTCACTAACCACGGAGGTCTTCTAGACCAAGCTGAAACGAACGGCATTACCACCACACCTGCTGTAACGGCTGTCACCGCTGTAACAAGTAACGGAACTAGCTCCACTCCATCCACAGCTATTACAGCCGTCGCTCCTACAACAAATACAAATTCGCTTTTTGAAAAGTCTTTCATTCCACTCAATGATCAAGCGGGTTCACCAGAGAATAAAAGCACTGAAGGTGAAACTAAAGAAGAAACTGGTGAAGAAGAGACTGAAGATATTTCTAGCTCTCAACTTACCATCAGGGCTCTTGTTTCTACAAAAGAAGCTGGTGTTATCATTGGAAAAGCTGGTAAAAATGTTGCCGAGCTTAGAGAAACAACTGGTGTCAAGGCTGGTGTGTCTAAAGTTGTACAAGGTGTTCATGATAGGGTATTATCTGTAGCAGGTACTTTGGATGGAGTTGCAAAGGTAAGAATTTGATTCAATGTTTTTGAATAAACCTTTAAGAACCAAAAAGTCGCTTGAATGTTGTGCACATGTTCATTGAAGGTTGTCATTACATTAGCCTCTTTTTTTTCAGAATCTCATGAGGACTTTATTGTGTTAAGGCATTATTAAATAGATATATACTATGCCGAAACTTTATTATATGATTTTCCTTTTTAGATAATTAGGGTTATATTTTATTATTGTTATTTTTAGTAACTATTAATGATAATATCCGTTTGATTTATTTATTCATTCTTTTTTTTCATTCTTTTTTTTTTTTTTTTTTTTTTTTTTTTTTTATTGGCATTCTCTCTTATTGCCCCAACTCTCCTTTGAAACCCTGTGAATGCTAGTCCCACTTCTACTCCAATCACTCCTCCTCCAAATGCTTTTACCTCAGTCCGCCTGCTCATCTCTCATAATCTCATGGGTACAATAATTGGTCGTCAAGGATTAAAGATCAAACATATCCAGGACGTTTCTGGCGCTAGAATGGTTGCCTCAAAGGAAATGCTTCCTCAGAGTACTGAGAGAGTGGTTGAAGTTCAAGGGACCGTTGACGCTATTCGTGTCGCGGTTTGGGAAATTGGTAAATGTCTAATTGAGGATAATGAACGAGGTATTGGAACTGTACTTTATAATCCGGCTATTAGGGTCACTTCAAGCTATTTGTCTTCTCGTCGCGAATATACTGTTCGAACTGGAAGTGGAACTGATTTTACTCGTCCCTCTCGTAACGGTAACAACAACGAATATCATAATCGTCGTCCACCCCATAATAATAATTATGATAGTTCCAGCATTCGAACCCAAAATATCTCTATCCCTGCTGATATGGTTGGCTGTATTATTGGTAAAGGAGGTTCAAAGATTTCGGAAATTCGTAGACTCTCTGGTTCTCGTATCAGTATTGCCAAGACACCTCATGATGAAACTGGCGAACGGATGTTTACTATCCAAGGTACTCCCGAAGCAAACGAGAAAGCTCTTTACTTATTGTACAACCAACTAGAAAGCGAAAAGGAACGTCGTTTGAATGTAACTGCGAATGGTGATTCCGATTCTTAGATATTCACATTTTCTTGTACCATACTCCGTATTCATACACGACTTGCTATGAAAATTCTCCTACCTCTTATCGTGAAATCATTATCCCAGGAAATACAAACCAAAGTCGCCGCACTATACATGCTTATATATATGTATAAAATGTGCGCGATGTGGTATATATGTATGTATATATGTTACTAGAACGACCTCCGTAGGATTTAGCATTTTTTCCTTGAACATTAGATTTTATTATTATTATTATTATTATATATATATGTTTAGGAGATTCAAGTGAGAATCCTGATAAAACTTTTCACCGTATATCATACTATCATTCTTAACCCTTTCAAAAGAGAAATGTTGTGTTATCTTAACATTTTATTTCACTTTTTTTTTTTTTTTTTTTTTTTTGTCGTCCATTTTCCCGTTTTGTTGATAAATTTTCCAATACAATATAATCCGAATTAGCGAACCAGATTATTCCTCTTACCTTTTTATTGTTCGTTTCACATCATCTTATCGACCTGTAAATGTTGGGATTTTATTCTTTTACCCTTTATTCATCATTTCTTTTCATTTGGATGTACCCGTATAGAACAAACATATTCAACCGAATCCGACTTAGTGAATCAAATTTTCCTTTATTGTTCGTTTTACATATTTACACATCAGTATATCGACCTTAAAATGTTTTACTCCATATTCTTTTATTACCTCTTCATTTAGGCTCTGTAGAACGAACTATGTAACAAAATGTTTATAAAAAAAGTCCCTTAAATGAAAAATAAAAATACAAAAAAAAACATCCAAAATTCAAAACCATGATTAGATCAATTTTCATTTTGTTATGCTTGCAAAAGTTCGGCAATGATGACTGTGTTATAATATATTAGTTAATATCGATATAGATGATATGAATTATATACGTATACATAAACATCTTTCGTCTTTAAGCATGCAAAGCGAAAACCTGCAATTTCGGTTTTTGCCGGCTCCGCTTTTCAGAAACAGTGATGAGATTCTATTTAATGGATCATGTGTCTGATAAGTCGATTTTATAAAATTGATTTCGGAAAATTCACAATTGTGGGTTTTCCACTGGGTTTTATACAGCGTCACGTGGCCGTAGCAACGATACTCTAAAACTGTAAACAATTATCTAATCAAATACAGCAGAGTAAAAATTTAAACCGAGTTTACTTTTGTTTCTATCCTAGCGAATAGTGAAAAAAGTGATATCGACTACCCTAGGGCGCAAACCATTCATTTTTGATACTTCTGCACCTACTTTTTTGATACATCTAAACATACTCTAAAACTAACCGATAAAATTGCACGCTATTATAGTACAGTAGTAGGTGCAGAAGTATCAAAAATAAATTTTTTGCCACAAATCCAATTTTGATATTGGCTGCACTAAAATTGTCACGGTAAATTCTTGATTTTGATTGGTTAAGCGCGACGATCAAAAATTTGGGCCAAAGTTATTTAAAATTTTTGGGCTAATTTTACTATTGCGCGGGTCTATTTCCCTAAAAATTTCTATTTTCAGCAAAAAAGGTTAAAAAGTTAATTCCGGCCAAAAATTATATAAACAATTATGTAATGCGGGCCAAAATTTTGTAGATTACGGCCGTTAGCCAATCAAAAATCGAAAACCTGGACCGGGTAAAATCGCCACCCAAAAAAGTTTCGAAAATCGTGATATTGTCAATTCATCATGGTTAGGATCATATTAATTTAGTATTTTTTTTTTTCTTCGATCCTTCAAAATGAAAAGCGATCGTTTCATCTCGACAAACCAAGCGATTCTTTTAAGGGCATAAACTTAAATATTTTAAAAATATACATCGATTGCCGTAACCAAATTTTCACTAAAATTTTCACTAATAAACGAAAAAAAAATGAATGAAAGTCGAAATAAAATTGTAAAAACTTAATCAAGAAAATGCAATTGCACCAGAAAACCTTATAGATTTTATTTTAATGCTCTTCCGGAAGACCTGGAAGACTATAAATCTGATTATTTATTTGAGCAAAAAGTTTTTATAATTTTGAATCCAGAGCGCAACAAAAAAAATTATTGGAGAAAACATAATGAATCCAAATAATAAAAAATGGCTCGATATTATTAATAAAAACTTAAAGCCATTGCATAAATTGGAAGAGAATTATAATCATTTTAAAAAACAATGGAATATAAAAACCGCAATCATAATACTTTCTAGCTGTAACAAATATTACGTTTATTGAGTTGATTCGAAATAAACAAAATTGCTTATCGTTATTATTTTGTTTATAAATTGTTCAAGTTACATGAATTACATGAATTTCATGAATTTTTGGTGCTCGATATATTTGCCACGTGATGTTCGAAACTTTTTTGAGTGGCAATTTTACCCCGGTCAAAATCTGTCGTGACAAAATTGGTGCAATAGTTAGATTTTTTTTGCTAATTTTGATAGAAACAGTGTTGGTCCAAAATATGATTATATGCTGTATATATATATATTTTTAATATCAAGATAAGATCATGTTTCTGGTTTTTATTAATATATTAAACTTATATAGACTTAGCTATGAGTTATATATATTAATTTATATAGAGCTACAGAGACTTAGACTAATTTATCTATAAATTAAATCTATTAAAACTTTTTATATTTTACAAATAGTTAGACTATTTTTTTTTTTTTTCCCGTTTAAAGGCCGGGTACTATGGCCGATTTTTTATTATGAGTCAGCATAATATTTGTTACATGAGCGAGGATACAACTAGCCACACG